GCAGGCAGTAGGTAGCTTACTGTTCTTATCACAGGTAACAAGACCAGATATAGCATATGCAGTAAACTTTGCTAGTCGTTACTTAGCAAAACCAACTAAAGCTCATTGGAACTTGGTAAAACGGATTATACGATATGTCAAACGAACATTTAATTATGGCTTGTATTTTAATCATAATACACAATTGTCATTAGAAATATTTAGTGATTCAGATTACGCAGGTGACGTTCAGACACGACGTTCAACGTCAGGATTTCTATTCAGATACGGGTCGAGCATAATTTCATGGACATCGCAGAGACAACATTGTGTGTCATTGTCATCGACCGAGGCTGAATATATTTCGGCCAGTGAAGCTGTAAAAGGGATCATGTGGATTACGCGGTTGATAATAAGCTTATCAAAAACAGGTGATAAACAACCGATATTATTCATTGATAATCAGAGTGCTATTCGTTTAGTGAAAAATCCGGAGTTTCACAAGCGGACTAAACACATAGACGTACGGTACCACTTCATACGGGAGAAATACGAAGGACAGTTCCAACTACAGTACATTGGAACAGAGGACCAGATTACGGACATTCTAACCAAGCCTTTGGTTAAGGAACGATTCGAGAAGTTGCGGTCAGCCATAGGAGTGACTACAATTAAAGAAATTATTAATTGAGGGAGGGTGTTGAAATATACAATTAATATTAGTATTCAAACCATGTAAACACACGTGCGTGTACAATGTCGTTTTCTAATAGATACTTATGCAGTTACGATATAGCTGTGTAACACCTTTACTATCGCTTTCTATATTATATACGGATACGGGATGGCCTCGATTGTTCATATAAATAGGGCCTTTGATGTATGTAATATTCACTTGCACAGACGCTGTCATACCGAGTGTACGCGGTGTGTGTGTATAGTCACAGTTTAATTGTCCAGTTGTACGTTATTATATATTATACTTATACATAATCATATTGTCGTGTTATTACTTATTATATTAATGCTAACATCATTAGTCCGTCAAGCTTCACTTTCAACAGGTTTTAAACACAATCATAGATAAAGTTTAAGTAATTATTTATTTATAAGTTATTTTTTATACCCACTGTATATCTGTATACTAGGCTGTTTGTGGACCATCAATGGAATTTTTAGATATAGTTGTAAGATGACCAGGCAGTTACCATGATAGCTTTATATTTAGTGGAAATCATGCAAACAAATACTTTTCTCAAAGTATAGACCATGTGATATTGCTTGGAGATAGAGGTATGATTTATATTTATATATTAATTAATGTACATACTTATAGTTTAAATTTATATTTATCCTATAGGTAGGTAAGAGCCTTGAGAAATTTTTTAATTATTTTTCAGTTATAAATTAATTAGTTTTTCTTTTTATAGTTAACATTAAAAAGTTTACTAGAAAGTTCCCAATACGTTTTTCCACCTCTCTCAAAAATAAAAAGTTTACCGGAATGTTACGCTAATCATGAGATATTTTTGATTGTTATTAATTTTTTTTTATCTATTCAATTTGATTATTTATCATTGAATTCAAATATGACATATTCGATAACTACTGTACAGATGAGTACCCACTTGTCCACCTTTTTAAATATATTATTGTTAGGTAGTTGACTAATTTAAGGATCAAATATTCTATATTTTAATTTCTATTCTACAATAAATATTTCTCATTTTTTTTTTCAATAGGTTACATGCATGTAAACCTTATTTGTTTACACCTTTAAGAAATCATAAAAAACAAAATATATATATTCAAATAATATTTTCATTATTTTTTTTAATTTCTAAAGCAAGTTTTTCACATTGTAGCTTGAACAGTTTATGTTCCTCAAAACGCTTAGCTACTATAGACTGCATACGTTTCTGATTTAAAATCTAGATAGTTTAAAATTAGGAAATTAAGAAGAACAATATGTATACATTAATAAAATCTATTTTGAACATTTATAATTTGTTTTATATTAATTATCTAATCAGCTAGTATACTGTATACCTTTAATAATTAAATAACCATATTAATCAACTTCTTTTATAAAAACTAGGGCCCAGATTTTTAGAATAATTTAAAGCTGAAATGTGATCCTAATATTCTTCAGAAAAAATACAAATATTTTACTTAATTCAATCAAAAATGAGAAAAATTATCAATGAATGTCAAAATATGCTTTATTTAATTTTTTTTTTAAATTAGTTGTCTATACCCTGTTCAAAATAAGAAGCGACCTGATTTACGCTTGAAAACCGGTTTTACTAGTGGCCGCCTGAATCGCTTCTTAAAATGAACAGACTATAGTTAGTAATTATTTTTAACTTTTTCTTGTAAACATTACATATAGTTATAATATGAAAAATCAATATTGTAATTACTACAATTATTTCAAATTCACATTACTAACTGTAAATACCTTTCTTATAAAATTGCACACATTCAGTAATAATATGTAGATAAAAACCTAAAAATCTGGACCTAATAACTTATATTTTATATTATGCATAACCAATAATAATTGTATTATTTATAAAATAAATAAATAAATTTATTAATAATTGTCTTTTTTTAAATATGTTTTTTTTTAAATATTACCTGTAACTTATTCATTTTTTCTTCTGATTCAATTGCCACGTTTTGTCCTTTTACTCTAAGCTCACATTCTTTCAGAATACCATCTTTTTTGGTGGATTTGCTTGTGATGGTTTCAATATGGTTTCTTTTTTCTATAAATAGTTTTGTTTAAATTAACTCAAAATGAATTATATCTATTGGCTAGTATATATGGCAGAAAAACTTACATTTCTATAACTATTCAGTACAGTAGACAGTAGTTTATACATACCTGTTTGTCCTGTTTCCGTAAAAATTTATGTTTTAAATACTTCAAGATAAATTACATGTTTAAACTCTTATTGATAAATGTAAATGTAAACTGAATAACGTGTGTTAGATTGTTTAGACTTTAGAGGAATTTTTAATTTATAACCTAACTTTCTATTATTATTCATTTGTCATTATGCTATGATGACAGTATTATGTCGGTATGTTCAGTATAATTATCGTGGTAATGACGCCAATAGAATTTATTTATAAACTTTTAAGACAATTTACAACAATAAGTTACTGTGTAACATAGGGCGACATCTACTTGACGGTTTCGTTGCAATAGTACGGCACCCCTGAACTGGAAATGCAACACAATGTAAAAGGCTTCTTATCACTAGTCCCCTAGCTTTGGTCCCCCAACTTCACACACGTAATATGAACAAGAAAAATAAGTATGAGGTGAAGTCTGAAACATTATTTTTCAGCATTACCATCAAAACCAAATTCTAATTCAGGTAAACTTATTTTTCAAAAAGCTATTAAATCGCTTAGATCTAAATATTTTTGCTCATACACATAACTTATAAAAGAATTATATGTGTTAAATATTAATTAATTTAGATAAAATTGACTTGGACAATCCCACCAGATGCAGTAGGTATTCAATTTCAAATTTCAAACTACAGAAGTGACTGGTATGAATTATAAACAGCTTAATAAAATGAATCAATATTATTTTAAATATTTTTTTGTAATGTCAAATTTTGTTATATAGATAAAAATTTCTCCAGAACACAAACAAAAGTTAATAGAATCTACTGAATTAAATACTGATAAGCCATTAGTAGAGCGAGGATTTGTATGAATTTGTATATTTATTCTGGTTGATCGCATGATATGTTAAGTGAGCACAAAATTTGTTTCATGACATAACGATTTAAAAAATAAAACTTCGTTGGTGCATATTTTTGCATATTTCGTCATTTTTCTATTTTAAGGGCTTATTTTACAATTTTAATTGCAAATTTCATCTTTTAGTTAGTGCATATCTCGATGTTTTTTTGTTTTTTTTTATAGGAAATTTTTTAAATTTATACTATTTTCAATTATAGTAATATAGGGAAAAAATATATTTTTATAATTTCGATTGTTTCGAATAATATAAAAATATCGTAAATTAATATTTATACTTGTAGACAACACGGTTTATTTATAGTCGGGGAAATAAAATACGTATAGGTACCAAGATAAGAAAAAATCGATTACGATCATGATTGACCATTGACATTAGGTGTGTTTTGGCGGAGTAAACTGTTTGGTAAATAAATTTATGGTTATAGAGTACGGTTAGAAAACGTTTACTGGAACGCCAAAACAATGGCTTGAACATTTCGTTTACTGAAATATTTGATAACTCTTATCATAGAAATACCGGGGCACCGGGCATACAAAATACAAATTTCATATGTCTAAAACACGGACTAAGATATACAGGACTGGAAACGAAGGCCTTATCAGTGGTCCGTGAATGTTTCCAAAAGGTACAATGTGTGTATCTAGCGCTATCTATGTACAGAACAATCAGTTGCTTTATAATAACTGAACATTTTATATTATTTTTTTCATGCTTTAAAATGTTAACAATAATTTTAACTTAGGTACCTAATATGGGTAGTTTATAGCAAGGCTGGGCAAGTTAACTACCTTTTTTTTTAACTCGTTAAGTTAAGTTAATATAGAAACATTTAAGTTAAGTTTAAAGCCTTGGTGATTAGTTTGTTGTGCTCATAACATTTTGTAAGACTTTTGTTTTATTTCACCCCAAAAATAAGGAGCTTCAAGAACAGTAAAAAGTAAAAACTGTAATAAAGTAATTAGTGGACTTAATAAAGGCTTGGATTTATGAATATAAACCAGGAAAAAGATAATATAGTGATTTTAGTGAAACTTAGTAGGTACTGTATACTAATTTTAGTACTAAATTAATTATTTTATTCTCGAATAAAGGGTTGTGTATAAAATAACTCATAAATTATTTTAAAATAATAATACATATTAATATATTATTTTATAATAATCTTAAATATTATATACAAATATTAGAACATAGTTAATAATTATTTATTACTATGTATTTACTAATTTAGCTAGCTTTTTTTTTTTGCATTAAGTTTATTAGCATTTTTATTTGTTATTAATGAATACTGTTGCATTCTCATGATTATAAAATTTGAAATAATTTGTGTAAGTACGTCTTTTTTATGTTCAACACAAGGAAAATTGATACTTTGATTGTTGCCAAAAAAGTCATCAATTTTCATTAAAAATACATCATTGTTTTCACAATACTTGACAAATGATTTTTCAACAGTGATCAGTAATCTAAATAAAAAATCATTTGGATGAGTCAAACCACCACGTGTTTTTAAATTTGATGGAATCGCACCTTTTTTTAATGCCATTTTTTTTCTTTTTCCCGTCACCTATAGTTGATTATAAATTGTGAGCAATAAAATAATAATTTAAAAAAAAATTCTTAGAATAAATATTTTATATTTTCTTACTAAATCATCTGGTCCACTGTAAGTTGTGATCAAATCGTCTTCAGTGAAATGTTCAGCACAAACGTAGGACTCTTTATGTTTATTATAAGCCCCATTCATTCTGACAATAATTTCATTCCAAGAATGGAAATCAGTAGCAGGAACTTTGAACAATGTTACATGTTTTTCTTTTAAACTCTTACACAAAATCACGGAACATTGCCGAGGCATTTTTAAAATGTATTTTAAACAATTTAAACTAAAACTATAAACTTTAGTCTTTAAATAGGTAGTTTCTTAAAATACGAATTAATGTTTTGTACTTTTAATAGCTTCAATTTAGTAGTTGTGTAGTACACCAGGTAGCAGTTACAGTCACGATTGTACCGAACCGAAACATTTGAGAGCCATACCACCACCCCCCCCCCCCAGTCTATCGTTTCCAGTCCTGTATATCTTAGTCCGTGGGGGTAATATAGGCAACCAACAATAAACACAAGGTGACGTCACATTCATATATTTCGTATATTATTCTGTGCATAGTGAGGAGCTCTGTTATGTTAGGCCGAGTTATTCAAGTTTAAATGTCTATTGCATAAACATCATGTATTAAACTACAGTTTTCTAATTTTTAATATTTCTATAGACTGTCAAATACCTACTTTAGTATAATTATTTACTGTAGTTTGTATTAGGTTAGTTTAGGAATAAATAATAATCATAGTTTGGATAATTGGGTAATGTGAGTCATGTTATACTATTATTTTTTTTAAATAATAATTATGTTTATTTTATAAATTTTTGAATTTTTTTGTGTTTTTGTTTATCAATTAATTGATCCTTTTCTTTTTTATTTAGTTCTCTTATTCTTAAATAAATTCGAGTCCGTATCATTGACCTCAAGACTTCATCTTCAATCATCATGTCATGCACTTGTTGTTTGATTAATTCCAATAATTCAGTAATAAGTCCAGGAGTTTTCTTTATGTCATCTAAAAGAAAGTCAATAATCACTTGTAAGTATTATTTATGTATTAACTATAACTACATATGTTAACTTAAATACCTTTTCCATTCAATTAAGCTTAAATAGTTTTTCTATGATTTTACCAACACTTATGAGGATACTGGATGGCTGTGTTAGTGTTCCAAATGATTTAGCTTGTATCCATTCATTTGTAGCACTATTACCTACTAAATCCTGGTATTTTGATTTGAACTTTTGAGCTGTATACCCTAAAAGATATGTTAAGATGTCTTCCTCAAACATATCTTCTGGTATATATTCATTTTGAGCAGTCATCTAAGTAAATAAAAAATATCTATGAATAACCTAGCTAAAAATATGTAAGTAGGTAATTATATAATAATAATTATAATCTCTTGTTATTATTATTTTTTTTTTTTACCTCAAGTTCAAATGCATTTAATAATTTAATTTCATTATTAGTTGCTACTACATATTGATCAGAACCCTTTTCAAGTTCAGCATTTTCCATTATGCTACCAACCAATACCTCAGGTGAATCCAACAAGCATTCTTCCGTCAAGCTTTCATCAGTGTTTCTGTTTGTTGAGAAAACCACTGAACTATACTTTCCCACAATATACCATCTTAACCTTAAGTGTATGTAAAGTAATATTTTATTCATTGTATTATATTAATAATTAATATTGTTAATTTTAGTATATTACTTTTTATCTTATAGTTACCTGTAACGGAAATCTAGTGGTGTTGGATGAGTATTGGCTGCACCCATTCCTCTAAGGTAGCTGAAACAATTTTCCAGGACGTCCTGGTTCAGCACCCGTGTCGTAATATATTTTACATCAAACATTTCATTGACATCCAAAAATAAATTCCTTAGTGATTTATTAGTCAAAAGTATGCCTTTTTGAAATGGCATCAAACATTTTCTATCATGTTTTGAACTATGGACACGCATATCAAACATTAGTTCATCCATTTCATTCAAAATTTGGTCTTGTTTTTCTTTATCTAAACCATATGCCAAACATTTTGTTGTTTTTGGTTCTAGACTGTTTAATAAATCAAACCATTTGTCAATGGTATTAAATGTTTCAGATACCTAAACAGTAAAAAAAAAAAGATAAATTAAAATTAAAAAATATTAATGCACGTATCCAACTGAAACTGTGTATGTTTAACTTACATGTTGCCAGTTTGATGTCGTTATGGCCCCTCTTTTACCTGCAAATGAAATTGCAGTAGCAACATATTTTGAAAAAAGTTGTGCTGCAAGCTTTACTTTTTGACGCATTGGACCCGTGCAATTTAGGTGAGTATTGGATAATTTATATGGCAATTTCAAATCTTGTTTACTGATCCCAACAATTGATTTACAGTATTCATCCCAATGAATATCTTATTGGTAGTATGATTTATTATAAATCCATTATCAATGAAATTATTTCGACATAGTTTCAGAAGATGGGGGACGTCAGCAAAAACATGTATACGATTTCCAGTTATCGGATGATTAAAATTTGGTGTTTTATATGACACATTCATATTCTTCCATAGACTTTGGTTTGTTGGCCCCATATTATTAACAATACTTATAACGTTGAAACCAATATCATGTAAATTGCAGATTATATCATTCAATATTTCTGGAGTCATCGGAGTGTCATATTTATAGAAAACTGGCTGCTTCCAACTGGATACCAATCCTCTGCCCATAACTACCTGGACAGTTTTATGGGGTCCAATGACTTGTTCCTTACTTTTATCAAAATCAATTTGATGGGACAAATACATTTCATCAAAGGATAAGACCGTTAACTTATCTTTGGTATCCATGTCCATGCCTAATATTTATGAATGAAAAAAATGTAAGACATTTATATTTGTAATTATATTTATGTATTGCATAAAATATATATAGATTAATATATTACCTTTTGTTTTCATTAACTTTAAAACATTTGTTAAAATTTCAGGTTCCAAACTGAAATTAGAAGCCCATCGCCTCAGAGTACTCAGTCCTTTTAAATTAAATTAAAATCGGTCATTATTGTTTATATAAAACTTTAAACTAGTATTATTACCTGGAATTGGATACTTGAGCTTATCGTGCATATAACGATATGTTGCTTTAGGTGATATGCTGCGCAAGGTCATAGCTGAAGCAATATCATCACAGGACCATTTGGCTACTTTTTTCTGTGGGTTTAATAGCATCTCGATTTGGTGTTCGCTAAATATGTTGGACAACAAATTTGAAACTTTTTTGGAAAACCCTCTTCGTAATCCAACACCGTAGCTTTCAATTTAGCATTCTCTACCCGGAGAGATTCAATTAACCTAATGGATGTTAATAATTAATTTTTATTTTTAAATTATAAAATATATAATCACCTTTCCATTTCTTTATTTTTATTCAAATCTAACTGGTTAGAGACAATGTCAGTTTCCATACATAGCAATGGCGAAGCAATCTAAATTGTTTAAATTAGGTTACTTATTTATAAAAGTTATTTCTTATGTTATATGAAATATGAATTGATCTTACATTGTCATTAAATAATTTTTTTTTACAATTTTTTTCAATTGGTTCAATTGGCTCAATTGCCCAAATACCCACTTTAGGACTTTTTGTTCTTGGTGTAATTAATTTAGGACTCTCTGTTGTTGGTAGAATTCCTTTTTTTACGGTGGACTTTGTATGTGGAGTCTAAATAAAATAATGTTTTTTTTATATAAATGAACATACTAAATATTATTTTTAATTACTGGTAAATATTTGGTAGGTACTGCATCAACCTTCAATTTTCTCTTTCTCTTTGGAGAAATATTAAGGATTTTTTCCATCATTGGCTTTTCTATACTATTTGTATCAAATGGAAATCATATATTTGTATCAAATGGAATTAAAATTAAAAAAGGAGGAAGAATTTCAACTATAATCTTTCATCCACCGCTGTTCCTACCACACTTTAACCACTGGGTTACAAATGAAAAAGTTATCATATATTTTTGACCTAGTACCTATGTCATCAATAATAATCAACAACTTACCAGTTTCCACATTCAGTGGTTTCATATAGCTTGGTCTGCCGCATGCTAGGATCCATTTTTGCTGAAATTCCTCTGATTTGGACCAGATCAAGTGTCTGTTTTTTTTAAATTGTAATATTAGTGATAAAAAGACAATTCACACATTTTTTTTAATTATATATTATTTGTGTTACTAAATCCTTCAAATATATATTATATATTTATAAAATATTCTATTGTCAAGCTTTAATAAAATATTATAGTGAATTATGAAAAAATTATATGTATTAGATATGTATTTAATACTTTGAAATTTCGAATACTTATAAAGTTATAAATGTATTAAACAATACGCTACAACTGACTACTGAGTATTAATTCTTACAAACAGTTTGAATGAATCCAATTTTAAAACTTACCGTTGGCTTAAAATTACAAGTATGTACGGCACAGGTAGGCATCTTAAAGGTGTTACACAGCTATATCGTAACTGCATAAGTATCTATTAGAAAACGACATTGTACACGCACGTGTGTTTACATGGTTTGAATACTAATATTAATTGTATATTTCAACAATAATGTATCAGTTATATTAAAAATGTCTTTATATATCATCATGAAAAATACAAATTCAAATTTTTTTAAGCTATTTATAAAACCTTTAGCTCCATTTATAGACTCCATTCCTGACTCTGGATTATCTCTAATACATTCCATTACTTCTAATAACTTATCTAAATTTGAAACAACAAAATTTAAAATGTTTGATCGTGTGCACCAGCGAGTCTCATTAGCTATAGGTATACGCTTGCCAATAATTGTATCTAAAACAAATGTTCGTTTTGGAGACTTTTTAAAAAATACAGATATTCCTAAAAGGGTTGCAAAAAATATTTGATATTGGGGCACACAATAACTTCCTTGTTGTAAAACTAGATTTAACCGATGTGCACAACAATGAGTAAATAGAGCAGCATTTGGTGCTTCATCTTTAATTCTTTTTTGAAGACCACTAACATGGCCAGCCATAACGCTGGCCCCGTCGTAACACTGTGCTATCAACTTAGTTCTAAAATTATATGGATCTAATACACTAGTTATTAAATTAAAAAAAGATTCAGAAGTTTTGCTACTACTCACATCATGAAAACCTAAAAAACTCTCCTTTAACTCACCAGTTTTTTTTACATATCTCAAAGTAATTGCACATTGAAATTTTTCCACAATATCAGTTGTATCGTCTGATATAACAGCAAAAAAATGAATATCATTAATTTCAGATTTTATGACATCAATTATGTATTCATAAACACAGTGTATAATTTCGTTTTGAATTGTTTTTGATTGGCCTGTAAAAACATTGCTAATTTTTTCATAATGAGATAATAACTCAGCATTTTGTTTAATGAGCAAATTAAACATTTCACGAAAGTTTCCCTGGTTAATAGATAAAGTGCTCTCATCATGACCTCTAAAAGCCAACTCTTGTTTACCTAATAGTATTACAACCTCAATTATTTGTAACAACACTAATCTGTTTTTTCTAACATTGTCGTTATACAATATTTTGCTTAAACGAGAACCTTCATTTAAGGCATCAATAATTGTTCCTTTATTTTTTTCCAACCGGACCAACCCAATGAAGTTATTTATAGGGTCTTTTGATGCTTCATGTTTTTTTACACTTCTTGACAAGTTTTTCAAATCAAAATAACCATCAGAAGACCAAACATTTTTTACTTTACCGAGTAAAACACAAGGCCAACAATACAACCGCTGTTCATAAAAGCTACCACATAACCACTTGTGTGAATCATACCAAGATTCCTTAAAAGAACGAGAACACATCTTAGAATTAGAATTTTTTATATTTAAATTATGTAAAGAAACTACAGGACGACCGTCATCTAATATCTGACGTTTGTTACTTTTACTACGTCGAGAAAATGGTGTTTCGAGTAAATTCATAATTAAATCATTAAACGGAAACATAATTAGTTATAACACAATAAACTATAGTAGGTACAAACGCTACAAACTACAAGGCAGTATAAAATTTCAAATACAATAATAATTATTAATTGTGTTAATTATTATTTGATTGATATTTGATATGAACATGATTTAAGATATACTGTTACACATCGAATTGTGATAAGGAGACCGTCTAACTGAATCCCTATATCAGCTCTGGAACTACTGACTGGCGCCATCTAGCGATAAATTTCCATGTACCATTCGTCAACATCAAACGGATATGCTAACTAAGTAAATGGTATTATAAAATATTGTATAACCTTTTTAACGTTTATTCATATATTATAATCGCAATACGTTATAACATTTAAAACCACCAGAATCATGACAAAATAAATTCTTTTTCATAACTAGAATATTAAGTTAATTATTAATCTTCAGTTAACTCATAATAGGTATAAAGTATAAACATTAAATATTAAACGAAAGTTAAGAGCATAGAAAAGTAAGTAAAGACGTTAAGTAGAAAGTTACTAATTTAGTACCTACATACGAGTATACGAATACGACCGTTGCCATAGTACGATTTGATTGTTGAAATTCTAGATAAATGCAGCTAGATGGCGCCAGTCGGTAGTTCCACAGCTGATTTGGAGACTCAGTTTGACGGTCTTTAAAAATGCAAAATATCATAGGCCGATGTTCAACCTGTATATCTTAAATCGTGGATATGAACCAATATCTTTAGTTTGTGATAAATGTATTGTGAGTAGGTACACTTACACTTACACTACACGACATTATATCCATTAAGACAACCTCCCCAGTTTCCTATTTCAATTAGTGGAAGTTACGTCGCTTCGACAAAAGACTAATGGATAATGTTAACAAACTCTGAGGCCCGAATCGTTCAGCCTCATTTCATAATAAAATTCCGATTTCCCCCTCTACCATTATATATTTTATCATTGTACGGCCGTCCCGGTCGTCATCTCGTCTGAGGCTAAATATTACTGGCCTCTCGGCACTCTTCGGCTGTCATCGAGATCGTTATATTGTTCAACGAACGTCTTCGTCATGATTTTTGATAACAGAGACAAAGTATGTACTCATTGTGTACTATGATAATTATATTATATACGACAAAATGAATTTATTTTGTATTTTAAAATGTACATTATATTATTGAATATAATATTCTTAAAGTCGATTGGAAATAACTATAAATATTGTATATATACCTCTTTTTTCTGTACAATAGCTAGGTGAGGCTCAGCCTCACTTTCCTCCCCTGACGAGCCGCCACTGACATGGACTTATGATGATAATAGACATAAATATCTCTCTGCGTTATATAATAATCAAATATAACAAAAGCTATTAATAAATATTAGATATTAATATTCAATTTATAGTGTATACAAATATTTTGTATTTACATGTGTTTGTTTAATGATAGCACAAGTCAATTCATTTTATTTTATAACAATTAATAAGCGTTCTAAACAGAATAAAAATCCAAAATAGCTATAATTTTGATGGTTAAATGTAATTAGATCAAATTATCCATGAAGTAAAATAAAAACTTAAAGTAATTAAAATTTACATAATATATTAAAAAATGTTAAGAATTCTAATCAAAAAATATTTCTTATATAACTTAAAATGTTAATATGTAGGTAATATATATATTTTTTAATTGTTTCAACATCAAATACAAGGTTAGGTTATTAGTTATAGTTTTGATATTTACATTTGGCTTATACGTGATAATAATATATTAAAGTTGTAAGTACACCTAAGTATATTTCAATTTTTTTTAAGAAACTAATTATTTTATATGTATCATATAATTGCTTTATTTGCTCCAAATATGTTGTCTACAATTAGATATTCTTCTCTAGCCTTTGTTAACTTTTTTGTAAGGTTATCCAGCTTGTATATACTTAGTGCCCTTTTGAGTTCCCTAAATTAGTACACAGTAATAGTCATACAGTATATACGTGTATCTTCAACATTCAAGTGTGTATGAACTGGTGACATAAAGAAACATTATAAGTCACAGTTAGGATTATTAACTAATAATAATATATTATATTATGAATAAATACAAATTATTATCTAATTATATTTACACAGTCAATCTAATTTTGCTAATTATTAATTATTATAATATAATATTATATATTATCAGGGCCGGCGGAAGGCACAGGCAACACAGGCCTATGCCTGGGGCGGCATTATGGAAGAGGCGGCATTTCCTTGATAGTAGGAAGGACCGTATTTAGAATAACATAAATATGTTGCTACTTAGGCTAACGCAAAAACCAAAAACCGTTTTTAAAATACCAATGATTTAATTAATATAAATTAAATAAATTTATTTTTGGTTGGGACGGTTTATTTAAAAGTACAAATGTATAATACACCGAAATAAAATGTAGATAACGTATAACATTAATTGATTTTTCCCCGAAATGACGACGTCGCGGTGGTCGAACGTCGATAACAATAACATACTACTAATAATAATTATTCTGTGACAATAATATACGATACCTATTATTATTATTTGTTATATTGTTTATTTTTGGCGTGGCGACACGCCGACACGCCGGGCTATTTGCTGATAGTTAGAGATGTTCCGGGTACCCGGCAATTACTCGATGGCCGGGTACTCGATATCATATTTAAGACTCGACTCTTACTCGGTACCCGGCGTAATACCTACATTTTTACCCGGCCATTACTCGGTACCGGCGTAATATCTTCATTTTTACTCGACTCATATCCAATGGCAAACTCTGATAATCTATTTATAAATATATGCATACCTATAATTAATATAACGGGAAAAATCTAAAATTGTCGGGTGATAAATTATAATTTATTTTGGTACATATTGAAATAACTGAACCGAATTACAATAGCCAGATAATTATAAGCAAATCATGTTTTTCATCTACAAATTACAAAAATAAATCTAGCGTGTTTTCTGTCTAATGTTTATAAATTTGATACTTGATACTTTGATAGTAGTATAATACAAATTTTGTATTTACAGTTCTACTCGGCCTATACTCGATACCCGGTTAGTGTTAAAATTTTTACTCGGCCAATACTCGATACCCGGTTAGTGCTATAAATTTTACTCGGCCAGTACTCGGTACCCGGCTTTATACCAGATTTTCTACTCAGAACATCTCTACTGATAATACGATAATCGCTTCTATTTGTTCTATGATAAATTGATAATACTAATTACTAGCGTCTAGCACATCTCAATGCGTCTCAATAATATTATTTGCTTTTCACTCGTCGCTTTGTCGTGACCTCCTGCAATATTTTTACTGAAGACGGTGGCTGAAAACTTACAGGTATCGTACCCATATTTAGCATATTATATCATTTGTATGTATATTTGTGTATAATTGTTATAATAGGTATAATATGTTGTTAGCGTGAATATTATTTAAGTTATTCGATCATTACTCGATGTTTGTATTATTGCATACAATATTATTATACCTTAATGACTTAATCTATATCAAAAATTAAAATAGGTCTATATTAGTCTGAAAAAATGGTACATTTGATATTCCGTTAATTAGTATTGTATTAATAATTTATTCAATTCATTAATAAAATAAAATAATAATTAATCAACAATTTAAACATAATAGCATTTGTTAAATTACTTTTCTTTACTGATATACAGTTTTTTCTTAGAATATCGAAAAAAGAAAGTTGAAATCTGAAATGTCGTACAGCGCTAAACGCACTCGGTTGTCAGGAGCAGAATACCAGAAAAAACGTATAGCACGTGAATTAGAAATATCTAAACAAAAAGATCGCATTTTAAATTTTTTTCAACCAGTACCAACTAGTAACTCCCAAAATAAAAATAATAATATTTCTTCAGATAACACAGAAATTGAAAGTGACAATACTGGTGTGTGTGATAATGTGCAGGCTCTTGTGGAAAAAGAAACGCATGTTTCAGAATCTAACTTAGAAAATGATGGTAATTTAACTTTAAAAGCTAAAACTTCCCCAGAAGATTTTTGTGAAAGTATTGAATGCCATGAAGATTTGTTGATTGAGGGTAATGAAGCGAATAACATAACACTTTCCATTGTAAAAGATGAAACGTTACACAATAATTCCAATTGTGAAATGGTTGAACAAAATGATCAAGATTTTAGTCTAGTAGAAGATACACCTGCAGATTCGTTTGACCTTGAATTATTAAAAGATCCAAAGATGTGGCCAGTTATTTGTGATAAAATACGGATGTTTTTAGTTCAAAAGGGCCCTTATCAAACACATTCGAAATCGTACCCAAAAGATGATACAGGTCGAAGATTTACAATCAATAATTTTTTTAGAAAATTAAGTAATGGAATGGAGGTAAAACGATCATGGTTAGTATATTCCGGTACGGGTGATTCTGTATTTTGTTATTGCTGTAAATTATTTAATGAGACAAAATCGTCTTTAGGCAAAGAGGGATATCATGATTGGAAGAACATTGCTGAAACGTTAAAACAACATGAACGGTCTCCACATTATGAAACATCTTTTCTTAAGTGGAAAGAACTAGAAATAAGAATAAATAATTCAAAAACCATAGGCAATATAAATGAAAAAATAATAAAAACGGAAATTCAACATTGGAGACAAGTTATAGAAAGAATAATATCATTAATAAGAGTACTTGGAAATCAAAACTTAGCTCTACAGGGAACTCACGATAAACTCAATTTAGAAAATAATGGAAATTTTTTAAAATTCATTGAGTTTTTAGGTAAATTTGACCCAGTTATGAAGGAACATATAAGAAGAATAACCTCCGATGAAATACACACTCACTATCTTGGAAAAGAGATACAAAATGAGATAATTAATTTATTAGCGAAAAAAATTAGACTTCATATATTAAATTGTCTGAAAAAAGCAAAATACTATTCAATTGTTCTCGATTGTACGCC